TGACTCAAGTTATACTGCAACACCGGCCCATCGGGATTCGTCCCGAACGTCCCGATGGCCAGTCCGCCCCTGAGAAAGCCCCACCTTCTCTCCTACAGACGAGCAAGACAATCTTTGTAGTTGTTTTGTTTATCTGTTTGTAGTCATTGTGTGTCTCTTCATGGTGGTTTTTTCCCCCTTTTCATAGTGGTTGTTAGCATAGGTGTCATTTACGCTGGGGACTTGTCCCCACCACTTTTTAAAAGTCTAACTTCACAGTTTGCTTCAAAGCTCATTTTGAGTCAATAGCTTTCCCAAGATATGTGTGTGATTGCACAAATTCCACTGTCTGGTTCTTGATGGATAAGACTTCATGTATGTGGGGATTCTAAAATCAATTACCATGTCTTTGGTTTTACATATGTTCAGTTGTAGATAGGACTCCTCACACCAGACAGTCGTCAATGACAGGGCTGTGGCTGCTCTCATTATCCTGGAGCCCTCTGGCGCATTTCCACCCAGTGGCGGTTCTAGACCAATTTGACTGGGGGGGCCACTGGGGGGCCAGTTATTTTCTGAGGGGGGCACAATAAATGCAGGACGAAAAAGAGAACTAGACAGTATGAAGTAATTGCGCATAAGAAAACAATGCAATACAGTTATTGGTATTTGTTTCAGTACACTTATTTATTTCAGATAGATCTTATAGTTATTACTGTTAGCTTCAGCTTAAGTTATAGTGCAATGTTTGCACTCACACCATATTTATATAAAAATAAAGGCAATGAACAGTTACATCTCTACTTTACATAAGGGGTGTCTGCACAATCTCACATTACAGCAACAAAATCCTGCGGTTTTTAGCAAACCGAGTACCAGAAAATATACATTTAAAAAAAAACAAAAAAAAACTTTTCATTATTAGGGGGGCCACAGCGGAGTCAGAGGTCAGTGTTAGTGGGGCACTGGCCCCCACTAGAACCTCCCCTGTTTCCACCGCAGGCCTCGCTCGACTTAGTACAGTTTTGTTAGGCCTTGTTAGGCCCAGCTCACAATTACAGAGCCATCTGCATTCTTTAAAATAATCCTATTCTCCCACCTCCTCAACTAACACATATAAGTGTATTGTCATGTCTTGAAACATTATTGTAAAGTGATATTCTTTAAATTAGCTTTTGTCATGTCCCTTTATCTTGTCTCCTCCTGTTTTGAAAAGTAATTCTCCATCTCGTTTCAGGTCGCTGTGCTCCCTGCCCCTGTGTGTCGCCTGCGTTTGTGATTGTCTACCCCGCCCTGATTGTTTCCACTTACAAGCGCTAGCCAATCAAACCGCGTGCAAGCTGGGAGAGCCAGACCGCAGTTCATTTCCTCATATTCCAAACGAGAAATTACGGTAGCAAATCACTCGGTTCTTTACGACCAGAACTATTACCGGGATACAAACCGGAGGAACCAGGCATGGAGGGAGGTGGCAGAGACAGTGGGTGAAACTGGTAGGTTTTCGCCTGTTTATATCCAGTTTACTTCGTTTTAACATTGCTATTGTATGTCGGGGGCAGGAGATTCATGTGATTGATTCATGTTGGTTGCGTTGCTCGCAAAAAATCGCCAAGCTTCAGACACGCCCAGCATCAAGATTTCTCAAGATTTTGTTCATGCCTGTGTGTGGACGGGCCGTGAGGGTCTTTTCTCAGCGAGAAGGACCAGGCCTGATGGAGGAGCCCATGCTGGGCAAAGCTGATACCAACTGCACAGGCCTAGTCTGTCACTTTATCTACTAAATGTGTTTACTTATACATTTAATAGGTTTACAACTTCTGTCCATATGTGCTTTTATTTAAAACATTTGATTAACTTTTGGTTCACATTTCAATAAATTTTGCACTCCTTTCGTCCATTATTCTTACTGAAAGTGTTAGATTACACATTCACATCTGACTGAAGATTGGCCCCATTTATTTGTGACGTTGCAAACTCTGCGGTACAAGGCACAAGTGATGTGAAGCTCATAAAGTGAGGCAAATAGAAATAATCAGCTGATGGAGTGTAGATGTGGAAATAGGTGCATTCGATCAGCTGACTGTTTTCACAATAAAAGTAGTTTCTTAGTGTACTGGTCTTAAAATCTCATAACATCAGCTTTTAATGTTCCTCTTGGATGTTCTTCTTGACCCTCAGAGAAGGAGAAGATGTCGTGTCTTTCAGGCATGTCCTTTCCTAACAAAAATGACAGGAAACATAAAACATATTATTGCAGAACAAGTGTGTTATTTATGAAAGCGGTGTGTTTGTGTGTTTAGGGGCTGTAGATATAATTATTTTGTAATTGTAATGATTTTTTTTTTATTTCAACAGTGAGCTACAAAGACAATCAGATTATGAATGAACAGTATGAAGTTCATCAACATTGAAATAAATGTTATTATCAAAATAATATTGAACTGTTACAAAACGTAGTGCAACTGTAGAAGCTTAATCTGTTGTCTCACTGAAATAATAACTTTTACCATGTTTTTTACAGACAATATTGAGAGATAAATAGTAGCAGTTCTCACTATGTGTGAAATATCTTTGCCTTCAATACATTCAATTAGAAAGCTGACAAAGTCATATTGCTTGTTAACATCTAAATGTAACTTTTTGCATGGAAAAAACCCTCAACTTAACTGATGTGTAGGTGATCTAGTATTTAGTATTGTTTAATGGAATGTATATCAGTGTATTCAAGTCAATACTTCATTTATTTAAATCAATATCTTTCTTGATTCTTTGTACAGTATGAAAAATAGAGTCTTTGTACCTGTGCTGAAGTTCACTGCTGTGAGAAGTCCAGCTTTGTCTCTCACTCGCTGGTCCAGCCTGTCTGCATCACCTGGACACCTTAAACAAACAGATATATACAGTGGGGCAAAAAAGTATTTAGTCAGCCACCAATTGTGCAAGTTCTCCCACTTAAAAAGATGAGAGAGGCCTGTAATTTTCATCCTAGGTATACCTCAACTATGAGAGACAAAATGAGAAAAAAAAATCCAGAAAATCACATTGTCTGATTTTTAAAGAATGTATTTGCAAATTATGGTGGAAAATAAGTATTTGGTCAATAAGAAAAGTTCATCTCAATACTTTGTTATATACCCTTTGTTGGCAATGACAGAGGTCAAACGTTTTCTGTAAGTCTTCACAAGGTTTTCACACACTGTTGCTGGTATTTTGGCCCATTCCTCCATGCAGATCTCCTCTAGAGCAGTGATGTTTTGGGGCTGTCGCTGGGCAACACGGACTTTCAACTCCCTCCAAAGATTTTCTATGGGGTTGAGATCTGGAGACTGTCTAGGCCACTCCAGGACCTTGAAATGCTTCTTATGAAGCCACTCCTTCGTTGCCCGGACGGTGTGTTTGGGATCATTGTCATGCTGAAAGACCCAGCCACGTTTCATCTTCAATGCCCTTGCTGATGGAAGGAGGTTGTCACTCAAAATCTCACGATACATGGCCCCATTCATTCTTTCCTTTACACGGATCAGTCGTCCTGGTCCCTTTGCAGAAAAACAGCCCCAAAGCATGATGTTTCCACCCCCATGTATCACAGTAGGTATGGTGTTCGTTGGATGCAACTCAGCATTCTTTCTCCTCCAAACACGTCTATGAGTTTTTACCAAAAAGTTCTATTTTGGTTTCATCTGACCATATGGCATTCTCCCAATCCTCTTCTGGGTCATCTAAATGCTCTCTAGCAAACTTCAGACAGGCCTGGACATGTACTGGCTTAAGCAGGGGGACACGTCTGGCACTGCAGGATTTGAGTCCCTGGCGGCGTAGTGTGTTACTGATGGTAGCCTTTGTTACTTTGGTCCCAGCACTCTGCAGGTCATTGACTAGGTCCCCCCGTGTGGTTCTGGGATTTTTGCTCACCGTTCTTGTGATCATTTTGACCCCACAGGGTGAGATCTTGCGTGGAGCCCCAGATCGAGGGAGATTATCAGTGGTCTTGTATGTCTTCCATTTTCTAATAATTGCTCCCACAGTTGATTTCTTCACACCAAGCTGCTTACCAATGACATCAGGACAGCAGATAGCTTGCACATCTTCCGGCGCAGACTGAAAACTCATCTCTTTCGACTCCACTTCGAGCGATAGAACTATTAACAAAGCACTTATATACTAATAAAGGACTGGCTTATCTAAAGCCAGTTGAGTAGCACTTGAAATGTTTTGGCTCTATGAAACCTGATGTACTTATATGCTTCTGTTTTCTTCAAGGTTGTGTCTTCCTGGTCGAATGTACTTATTGTAAGTCGCTTTGGATAAAAGCGTCAGCTAAATGCAATGTAATGTAATGTCTTGTCAACGCTGATCCCCTTGTCCAACTCAGAGCCAAAAGAAGAACCAACATGTGCCGAGGTCATTAAAGGCTACAACGGACCATGAGTTGTCTGACAAAAGGGAAATCACAAACTGGTGGCAAACAGTCAGTGGTGGAAGAAGTACTTAGATATTGTAGTAAAAGTACTGCATTTGAAAAGTAAAAGCTATAAGCATCAAATGTACTTAACAAAGTCAACAAGTATAAGTAAAACTGGTTTTAATTTCATAATCATGTATCAGATTACTGGATATCTTAACTCGTCATTGTATCGTAAATTATGTATGAGTTTATTTATGATTTGGAGCTAATCATTTGAATCTATTAAGTTACTAGCTAAAGCTGTCAGATACATAGAGGAAACAGAACACTATTGGCTCCCAAAAATGCTTCAAAGTAAGAGCAAATATAAAATAATAATTCAAATAATAATAGTAATAACTTTTATTTATATAGCACTTTTTAAGGTAAAATAGGAAAAACGACAGATTTATCTCAAGAAATTAAACGAAAATGATTGCCCAACATTTCCTTTAAAAATGTGTTTTAATGTGAATCGTGATATACACAGACGGATGGAGCTGTGTTGATTCTGTACATCTGTCTGTCACCGTGTGCCCGCAGGGGGATGGAGGGATGGATGCTGGCAGGATGCAGCTCCAGCTCAGCCTCCCCATCCCTCCATCTCCATCCTGTCACGGTGCTGTGCGTTATGACGCGGGGCTGCATTACGTGAGACTGTCGACTCAGCACCGGATCTTGCTTATGTAACGCTGCTGCAGGAAGAGAGGAGCGGAGGACTGACGGATGGCTAATTTACTGACAAATAACGGCGAGTTGGCTGATGTCTGAGCGGCTGCCGGCGGAGAGAACAATGCTGAGTGTAGGTCGCCGGGCCGCAGTGTGAGAGCCTGGTCTGGGCACCAGGGGCCTGTCCCTCCGCACAGTCTGCAGCCTGCGGAACATTCTGCTTTTTATGCAGATGTGAGGTTGGATTGGTCTCCTTTCTGCAGGAATAAACCAATGCGGGTTTGTTTTAGAGGAGACACGCCTTCACATTCTGATCCTCACCATCCTTTCTGCACTGATCCAGCGGACAGCGCTTTGATAAACATGGCGGGTCCGGAGCAGTGCCAGCAGCAGGTGGAGGAGCAGGCGGAGCGCATAGATGATGCTGAGATGGCTCTGCAGGGCATCAACATGCTGCTCAACAACGGCTTCAAGGAGAGCGACGAGCTCTTCAGGAGATACAGGTAACACATGTTAATGAGGGGGGGGGGCAAACTCAGACCAGGGACCACAGCCCACCCTGATCTCAAGTGGGCCAGTAAAATCATAGCAAAAATAACCTATTAATAACCAAAACTCCAAATGTTTCCCTTTGTTTTAGTGCTGACAAGTACATTGTGAAAGATAGATAGATAGATAGATAGATAGATAGATAGATAGATAGATAGATAGATAGATAGATCCTTTGTTAATCCCAAACTGGGAAATTATTTTTGCAGGTGTATGCAGGCCCTATTGACACCCCTGTGTTGCAGTATGTTGCAGGTCGAAAAAGATAGGCTACAGGAACAATGTAATATGTGGTTACTTCAAGGTGGAGCACATGAATACAAACCGTTCAAACATTGCTCCATGGAACAGATAACGGCATGATTCAATGAATGGTCATTAGGTGTTAAATGTTAAAACCTGTTCCTCATGAGTGAGGCTTCCCCCTTCCCCTTCAAAGTGCTTCTCAAATGTTTCGCCATGTCAAAAAGAGAATATACAGACTGTAACCACCACAAGTATTTATAAATATGGCTATTTGTTAAGCTAATGGTTACTTTTAGCATCTATTTATGAAAACACAGTTATATTTATACTTTGTATTTTTAAATGTTATAGTCTGTAACATGTGTAAATACAGTATTGACATTTAATTTCATTTTAGTGCCGTCTCATTGCTGCAACCTCTGCTTTTATCAGTGCTTTTATTCATGTGTGTCTATTTCTATTACTGCAGTGAGAGATGCCAAGGAAATGTCATTATACCGTATGTATGATGAGAATAAAGATATTCTGATTCAGATATGTCCCTTGAAATAATTTGACATAGTCTATTATCTACATTTCTATATTCAAGAGAAATGTTTAAGAAAGATAATGTAATACATAGTAAAAACATCTGCAGATTCTAAAAAAGAATCCATCATCTATTATTCAAAATTGTAATACTATTTGAAGTATGACACCTTGGCAGAGCCCAACTTGAGCTGTAGACCCTCTGGTGGAATAGACAGATGGTCCATCATGGAGACCACTCATTGCTCTCTGCACCTTTCACAAGAATATAGCTTACACTTATTTGCTTCTTTTTCTAACCCTGCATGTCTTGGACTCAGAGATCTTAAATGAAGTACTTACTTCCCTGCATGGATATTTTTGTATTGCAAATATTGATTCTGTCAAACAAACGATTGTAGTCCGACCCCTGACCTCAGTCATGACAGCTGAACAGGAGCCCTGTGGCTCCTTTCATATACTTACATTTCAGAGTATTCAATTCAGTTGGTGTTGTCCACTGGATCTCTCCTCTCTCTCCTCTCTGTGTAGGACCCACAGCCCACTGATGAGCTTTGGGGCCAGTTTCGTCAGTTTCCTGGTGAGTTTCCTCTCAGTCGGTGGTTTGTTTTTGTGATTCCTCTGGCCTTTCATTTGATCATTGTAATGATCAAATGAAAGGCCAGAGGAATCACAAAAACAAAACAGTATGATAAAAAATATCGGATGTTAAAATGGATGTTGAAAAATGATTTGTAATGAACTGGTATAACTGATGTTTTGGCTAGGCCAAAAGCTTATCTTGCTTTCTTTGGGTACCACCCCATTTTTCTTTATTAACACCATTCATTTTTTGTAACAACAAAACCTTTAATAAAAACCATTTCAACATTTCAGTTTAGTAATATTGGCATATGTAATGTCCCCCTCCAAAATGAATGCAAAAGGGGGAAAAAAATTACACTAATGAAAATAATGATTATATTTGGTACATCAGTGTAGCGTATAGTAAGATTTATAATTTATGAAGAAAAACTCCAAGAATCACCTTGGATAACCCAATCTGTCAAAGTGTTTGCTCCCATTGTCACCACGGACTTCCTCTCTGCTGCTTTCGCACATTAACATAATGGATGCATCACAACAGCACACACACACACACACAACACACACACACAAACACACACACACACACACACACACAACACCACACACCCACACACACACACACACACACACACACACACACACACACACACACACACACACATCACACAACACACACACACACACACACGCACGCACGCACACACACACACCACACACACGCACACGCACACGCACACACACACACACACACAACACACACCACAAACACACACACACACACGCACACACACACACACACACACACACACACACACACACTCTCTCTGTCGCCTCGTGATGACCCACACACACAAAAACACATCATGAATCCAGAGATGATGTCATCCTCGGTCCCCAGATAGCAATTGGCCCAGGCTGTGGGGGTGTGACCAGACGTGCACAGGGATATTCAGTTAATGCAGCGTACAAGAACATGTTTGACATTGTCACTCATATATCTCTACATTTTGCACCTTGTATACGTGACTATGTCCTTACTCATTAATGGATCTAAAAGGTTTTAGTAAAAAATGATTCTGGCATTATGTGCAGCATCTCTCTGACTCCAACACACAGCTGTACAGATGTTCCTCTGTTCATTGTGATGCAGAAAGAGCCCTTTGTACTTTTCAAGACTGTTACACTCCTCTCCTCCTTTACAGTAACAGGACCTCTGTTTGTAAACCAGCTCAGCATAGCTCTGTTCAACAAGACCAAATGTTCTATCCCCACTTAGGCGTTTTAATATCTGGATAACAATATCTATCACAATAGCATATACCAATAGTGTTTGTCTGGCAATGCAATACATTCATTTAAATAAATTACCCAACTGTAAAGCCTATTTTCTTATTTCCTGCTGTAAACTGACAATGTTTAAATGGGTTAAGTCAACTGTTAATGTAACTCTACCAGGGTATTCCTATAAACAGAATTGTTGGGTGATGAAAATCTGGCACAATGCTGTACTTAGCATCAGCAGTGTGAATCCACATGGACCATCACACATGATAATCCTCCATCATTCTGCATTAGATTTTCTGTTAGCATATGCTTGATATGTGATTTCATCACAACATCATTTTATTGAAGGATGTAATTGATGCTGCATTATCGCCCAGAATAAAAATGCAGTACATTGTTTCTTCTTAAAGATATATTAGAACCAATCCTCTTCGTTGCATTGTGATTCAGAACGCCATGATGACATTTGAGGAGGAGAAGATGCAGACGGCCTGCGACGACCTGAGGACCACGGAGAAGCTGTGTGAGAGCGACAGCGCCGGGGTCATCGAGACAATCAGGAACAAGATTAAAAAGAGTGTAAGCTCAAAATATAAATAAATAAATATAATATATAGACATTACACATGGCATTAAGACACCTTCACAGCAAACTGTTGTGTCTGCTGCCATCCCGCACATCAGACTTAACTCCTGAGTTCTGTGCCATCACAGCTTCATAACATTAATCTGTTTACATCTCACATATGTATCTATTATTACAATTAGCAGTATTTTGATTTCACTGTACAGCATTTCACATTACATTGTATTTTCAGCTCATCTTATTCTATTTGACTTAGAGTTACCTTCTCCTGCATTACTCAGTTGCCCATTGGTCTTGCTACATTCTCTTGTGCTATTTTATTTCTACTTTGTTTCTTCTTGCTCTATTTGTATTTTTTTTCTTTCTTTTCTTTTATGTCTTATACATATCTATGTTGCATTGTTGGAGGAGCCTGTGAGGTTTTTCATTGCATACCTACACTGTATCTGTGCATATGACAATGACGCTGTTTGAACCTTTGAACTTTGAACCTTAAAACTAAACTTTGTCAAAGTTGAGGGGCAAAAACACCAATTGATGTTTTCCACGTCGCTTGCTACAGCAGGCTACTGTTCAGATAACAAGGTTTATATCCTCTGCATCATGCCTAATGATGCAGGCAGCGGTGAGATCATACCAAGCCCACTCACAAATTAAATTATTGCTTCTGTGAAATGTAATCAGCAGACTGAGTGAGGAGTGTGGGGGCCCCGGGTCATTCAGGAAACCCTGCCAGCCTCTGGGTAAAGTGGCAGGGGGGTGTAATACTGCATATTGTGTGTGTGTGTGTGTGTGTGTGTGTGTGTGTGTGTGTGTGTGTGTGTGTGTGTGTGTGTGTGTGTGTGTGTGTGTGTGTGTGTGTGTGTGTGTGTGTGTGTGTGTGTGTGTGTGTGTGTGTGTGTTGCAGATGGACTCACAGAGGTCGGGCGTGGTGGTGGTGGACCGCCTGCAGAGACAGATCATCGTTGCTGACTGTCAGGTGTACCTCGCCGTGCTCTCCTTCGTCAAGCAGGAACTCTCAGGTGATCATTTCAAACAGACCAGAGAGTGTGAGCTTAAAAGAACAGTTTTTTGTGGGGGTTATATGATAACTTCTCCATATTCAGTAAATGACCAATAGTAAAGAACGGTTGACACGCCCCCAGTTTCAAGAACCACAGACTGTATTAATAAATAATCAAGTGATGAAACTGATAACTTGCAATATACTGTTAATAACTGAAAAAATTAATTACATTTGTACACAAGTATGTGTACTACTCCAGTGGTTCCCAACCGGAGGTACGGGGACCTGTAGGGGTACTTGCAGGGATTGCAGGGGGTCTGTAGAAAAATAAGGGAATGCAATTTATTTCCACACAAAAAACATTTTTAAATAAGCCTGGTGTCGGTGGTCTAGTTCTGCTTCCGCAAGTAACAGTTCCTCCCGGGATGGTGTGGATTGTAACACCACTGTAGTTCGTGTTCACACTGTGGCGCCGCACATAGCAATTAGCTTACATTAGCTGCAAAGTGATGGTAAGAATGGATGCATGATTAGCCAGGGATAAACATACAGCCGGCGGTACCGTCGCTGCTGAATCGGGTTTAGGAGGGCGTCCAAGACCTGGAATATAATTATATGAAGCCATCCCTGCAGCGGCACCAGAACACCAAACACAACAGGAGTGTGGGTAAAAAGTTGGGTTAAATACAATTACAAAGGGTTTAATACAAGACAGATGAGTGAGGGGGTTCTTATGGAATGGTGACCAGCTCAAGGGGTACACGAGACAAAAAAGGTTGGTAACCACTGGTTAGAGATCACCTAGGTTGGTTTAATCACATCAATTATTCTAAAGTTTATTGTTTCCACTTCCAGCTTATATCAAAGGGGGCTGGATTCTCCGTAAGGCGTGGAAGATGTACAACAAGTGCCACAGTGACATCAGCCAGTTGCAGGCGGGCAGTGAGCGGAGGTCCTCCCTTCACCAGGAGCCCCTCACCACGGACAACGCCAACCACAACGCCCCAGTGGAGAGCTGCGTGACGGCCGAGGCCCTGGACCGGCTCAAGGGCTCCGTCAGCTTCGGCTACGGCCTCTTCCACCTGTGTATCTCCATGGTTCCGCCTCACCTGCTCAAGATCATCAACCTGCTGGGATTCCCCGGCGACCGTCACCAGGGCCTGTCCTCCCTCATGTATGCAAGCGAGAGCAAGGACATGAAGGCACCACTCGCTACGTGAGTAAACTTCCTTTGAATTGTTATTCAGTTTTTATAACAGAGACACAGCATTGGTGCTGATGGGGGAACTGAACTGAAAACCATAATACATTTTACCATCAAACATCCCCAGTTCATTTATTATATTAAGACAATTATTAAACTTTTATCATGTTTAAATATGCAAACGAGGAATTATCTTATGAAATATGTGATTATTATTATACATTTCCGCAAACATTAAACTGACCTTTGGATGAAGCATGGTTCAAAAATGATTGTTTTATGTTGTTGCCATATTACAGGAGAAGCTTTCAGAATCATTGTGTCACTCCAAAAATCTGAAAATCATAAATCGCCATGTTTTCAAGGAATATAAGTGAAAATAAATCGGGCTATTAACAAGATTTAACCAAACCCCTCAACAGAATAACGATATGAATGAGAGGAGTTTCTGTTTTTCAGTTTTTCTACTCTTAGTATTAGAAGAAGCTTATTTTAGGAAACAGTCCTTAAAAATATGGATTGTAACACATACTGGTTCAAATGTTAAAATATAAGGCATTATCTAACGCTTACTTTTCAAAAATTGCACCTAAATATGTATTTTGATTTTGATAAGCAATATACCCCAGACCAGCAGCATATTATAACCGGGAACCTTTATCACTAGATCCTGGGAACTTTTAGTATGAATTAAATGTTTCTCAGTGCTGTTGCCTTGTAAGTCTTTAAAATGAATGTTCACTTGTAACCCATTACAATATATCATGAAACATCACTCAAATTAGACATCATAATTTGTAAACTAGGAATATATTTTTTTAATACAATAATTATGCTAATCCTGGCCCCCATAATAATAACCCTCTGTGAGCATCTCTGATAACCTTTTGATTCCACTGCTGCTGGATATGCTACTATATTTTAATAAGGGTATGTCTGTGATTCACATGTGAAGAGGACATGGACATGGTTCACTTACTAATGTGTGACCTTCAACCCGCCATCATCTGCTGTTCCAAGGACAGGGAGGAACTTGTAACGGCAGCTTAGTATAGGTGATAACGGTTTGGGCCTGATCTTCAAACTGTAAACTAAACTTTGATGGCAGTTCTCAAATATATATTAATTTGTCTTTTAATCTTAATTATTAGTTTATTTTTATTTATTTATTATTATCGTACCTTTTACCTCCCTGTGTCCGTTGAACTGTTATATTTTGCTCTTATTGTCACAAGTTAGACACTTATATTATTGTTTGTTTGGTGGCTCAACTAAACTCTCCTGTCATTTCAGATCCCGCCTTCCTCCAGGCCCTTGTAATCAGCTCACTTCCCTCACCTGGTCTCCCCAGCCCTTCCCCTCACCTGTTACTCATTCCCTCATCACTCCACAGTATTTATACCACCTCACTATCACTTGTCCTTTGCCAGATTGTCTTGTCGTTTCCACCAAGCTCTCCAGTGAGTGTTGTATTCTAGCCTAGATTTTTGTCCTGCCCGGTTTTTGATCCCTGCCTGCCTGTTTACGGATCTCGAGTTCCTGCCTGCGCCCTGTCTGGTTTTGGTTGCCTGTCTGACGGATTTACTGGTTTTGACCCTGCCTGTCCCTGACCTGAATAAACTGAACATTGCTATACACTGGTTGTATCTGAGTCGTGCTATTGGGTTCTGATCTGTACCTGTGATCGTGACAGAACAATCTGGCCAACATGAACCCAGCCGACTCAGCGACAGAACCGCCTACGCACGATATCGTGTTACAACGCCACGAGCAGCAGCTTACCTTCATGGCTGAAGCAATGCAGGAGATGGCCGCTCGTCACGAACGGACCTTTGTGAATCTCCGTGATCATCTTCAGAACCTTCCTGCTACGGTCCAAAGTCCGGAACTAACTCCAGCTTCCGCTGTTCGAATCCAGAGTCCTCCGGCATCGGATGCACGCCTGCCTCCTCCGGAACGCTACTCTGGAGCCCCAGGTTCGTGCAGACGATTCCTGGTCCAATGTTCCCTCGCCTTCGAGCTTCAGCCTTCCGCCTTCCCAACAGAAAGATCCCGGGTGGCGTATATTGTCTCTCTTCTCACGGGCAAAGCTAAAGACTGGGGTACCGCCGAATGGGAGAGACAATCCTCTGCCTGCTCATCTGTAAGCTTATTCTCCGATGAACTGCGTAAAGTCTTTGATCACGCTACACCCGGAAGAGAGGTCGCTCGGGGACTGTTTAACCTGGCGCAAGGAGGGAGATCTGTGTCCGATTACTCCATCGAGTTTCGTACCATAGCCGCCGAGAGTAACTGGAATGCTTCTTCACTTCTCGATGCCTTCTACAACGGTCTGTCGGATCGCCTTAAAGACGAACTGGCAGCTCGGGACCTTCCTGCTGATTTAGATGAGCTGGTGGCTCTCTCCATCCGCGTTGACGGCCGTCTGCGGGAGCGGAGGAAAGAGAGGGTTTTCTCCGTCGCCCCTCAGGCTCCGCCTCCTCCGTCAGCGCATGCTACTGAACAGGTGAGAGGAGGATTTTCTAACTCTTCTGAACCAATGCAGCTGGGGCGGACCCGGCTCTCCGAGGCAGAACGACAGCGCCGCCTGCGGGACAACTGCTGTCTTTACTGCGGCCAGGAGGGTCATCTTGCCTTCTCTTGTCCAGTAAAAGGCAGGGCTCACCAGTCATCCAGAGGGCGCTGGTGAGCCGAATTATGAATTTAGAAATGCCCTGTCGACCCCTAACCCATGCTCAGCTGAGCTGCTTGGGGAAAATGCACACTGTGGCTGTTCTTATTGACTCTGGTGCTGATGCCAGTCTTTTGGATATAACACTGGCCTTTCAGATGGGACTTGGTCGGGAGGTTTTGGAGAAGCCCATCAATGCTACAGCTCTAGATGGTCGTCTTCTCTGCAGAGTGACACACCGTTCAACTCCAGTTCAAATGAGCATGTCAGGTAATCACAGCGAAACACTCTCTTTTCACCTTATCCATGCACCACATCAGCCTGTCATTTTGGGGTTTCCTTGGTTAAGGAGGCATAATCCTCATATAGATTGGAGACAGGGACTATTAGAGAGTGGAGTGCTCATTGTCATGCTGTCTGCTTAAGATCTAGTTCCTCAATTGATTCCAGTCAGCCGATTATCTCCGAGTGTCAAGACCTTTCCGGTGTTCCCAAGGATTACTGGGACCTTAAAGAGGCCTTTAACAAGGTTCGGGCCACCTCACTCCCGCCTCATCGTGCTAATGACTGTCCTATTGACCTGTTACCTGGTACTTCTCCTCCTAGAGGTCGACTTTTTTATCTATCGGCTCCTGAAACTAAGTCAATGGAGAAGTATATCAATGACTCTTTGGATGCAGGGCTTATCCGGCCTTCATCATCTCCTGCTGGTGCAGGTTTGTTCTTCGTGGGTAAGAAGGATAAGACTCTGCGCCCATGCATTGACTACAGAGGACTCAATAACATCACTGTCAAGAACAGGTACCCCCTTCCACTTGTTTCCTCTGCATTTGAACTGTTACAAGGCGCTACTATTTTTACCAAGCTGGACCTACGTAACGCGTACCATTTGGTGAGAATCAGGGAGGGGGACGAGTGGAAGACGGGATTTAGCACTCCTAGTGGACATTATGAGTATTTAGTCATGCCTTTTGGACTCACCAATGCACCTGCAGTCTTCCAGGGGTTGGTGAATGATGTTCTGCGGGATCTTCTCAATATCTGTGTTTTTGTATACCTGGATGACATTTTGATTTTTTCCAAGTCAAAACAGGAGCATGTGGTCCATGTTCTCCTAGTCCTCCAGAGGCTCTTGGAGAACCACCTCTTTGTCAAGGCCGAGAAGTGTGTGTTCCACACCACAGAAGTCCCGTTCCTGGGATTTGTGGTCTCCACCGGAAACATCAAGATGGATCCTGAAAAGACCAAGGCAGTGACTGACTGGCCACGCCCTTCAACACGCAAGGAGCTCCAACGCTTTCTGGGTTTTGCCAACTTCTACCGGAGGTTTATCCGAAACTACAGTTTGGTGGCCGCTCCTCTCACAGCTCTCACCTCTCAGAACATTCCCTTCCGGTGGTCCTCGGTGGCCGAAGGGGCTTTTGGTGAGTTAAAGTCACGCTTCACCTCTGCTCCTATTTTGATTTTACCAGATTCTACTCGGCAGTTTACTGTAGAGGTAGATGCGTCGGACACTGGAGTTGGGGCAGTTCTTTCTCAACGGTCGGCCGAGGATCAGAAGATGCACCCGTCTGCCTTCTTCTCTCGAAAGCTGTCCCCAGCGGAAAGGAATTATGACATTGGAAATCGAGAACTGTTGGCAGTGAAACTTGCCCTGGAAGAATGGAGACACTGGTTGGAGGGAGCAGAGCAGCCTTTTGTGGTCTGGACTGACCACATAAATTTGGAGTACATCCGTTCAGCTAAGCGGCTGAACTCTCGTCAAGCCAGGTGGGCTCTGTTTTTCACACGCTTTGATTTTTCTCTTTCATACAGACCTGGTTCTAAGAACATCAAACCTGACGCCCTGTCTCGCCAGTTCCAGCCAGAGAGCTCTCCATCTCATACTGAGAATATCATCGCTTCTACATGTGTCATTGGTCTGGTGACCTGGGAGGTAGAGGATAAGGTCAAGCGCTCTCATGCTGAACACCCAGCCCCAAGTGCCTGTCCTGTTAACCGTCTGTTTGTTCCTGCCACTCTCCGTACCCAGGTTCTCCAGTGGGGTCATAACTCTCGCCTGGCTTGTCACTCAGGAGTGAGACGGTCCCTAGCCCTGATTCGACAGCGATTTTGGTGGTTTTCCATGGAGAATTCAGCAATGAATCCAAGGAATTCATTGCTGCTTGCCTAGTCTGCTCCCAAAATAAGACTTCACGCCAAGCTCCCTCCGGTCTTCTTCATCCCTTGCCTATCCCTCATCGTCCCTGGTCCCACATCTCCTTGGATTTTGTCACTGGACTACCACCCTCAGACGGTAACAGTCATACAAGTCTGCTCATTCCATTAACCAAATTACCTACTGCCAAGGAAACGGCTGAAATCATGCTACAACATGTGTTCAGGCTGCATGGTCTCCCCAGTGACATTGTCTCTGATCGGTGACCACAATTTACTTCTCGTTTTTGGTCCGAGTTTTGCAGGCTGCTGGGAGCCAGTGTCAGTCTCTCGTCCGGATTTCATCCCCAGTCCAATGGTCAAGCAGAGCGAATGAACCAGGAGATGGAGACTGCCTTACGCTGTCTAGCCTCCTCCACTCCCTCCTCCTGGTCGAGGCAGCTTCTATGGGTTGAGTATGCCCACAACACCCTTCCTAGTTCTGCTACTGGTCTTTCTCCATTCCAATGCTCCCGCGGATACCAGCCACCCCTTTTCCCGGCACAGGAACGTGAGGCCAGCGTCCCATCTGCACAGGCGTTTGTAAGCCGATGTCGACGCATATGGTTAAAGGCCCGCTCCGCGCTCCTGCGCTCTTCCGACCGTTATCAACGGACTGCCAATCGCCGTCGCAAGCCAGCTCCACAGTACTCCCAAGGGCAACGTGTCTGGCTCTCCACACGGGATCTCCCTCTCAGAGTTGAGTCAAAGAAGTTGTCTCCCCGTTTTGTAGGCCCATTTCCCATAGCTAGGATCATCAATCCTGCAGCTGTCCGCCTGCGTCTGCCCCCTTCTATGAGGATTCATCCTACCTTCCATGTGTCCAAGATCAAACCAGTTAATGTGAGCCCTCTTCAGCCCCCCTCTAGACCCCCACCACCACCCCGGACTATCGACGGGGAGACTGTTTACACTGTCCGTCGCCTCATCAAGTCCCGGCGACGTGGTAGAGGGTTGCAGTACTTGGTACACTGGGAGGGTTATGGCCCTGAAGAGCGTTCATGGGTGCCTGCTCGCAGTATCTTTGACCCATCTCTCATTACTGACTTTCACCAGGCTCATCCCGATCAACCACGTGGGACGTCAGGAGCCGTCCATAGAGGGGGGGGTTCTGTCACAAGTTAGACACTTATATTATTGTTTGTTTGGTGGCTCAACTAAACTCTCCTGTCATTTCAGATCCCGCCTTCCTCCAGGCCCTTGTAATCAGCTCACTTCCCTCACCTGGTCTCCCCAGCCCTTCCCCTCACCTGTTACTCATTCCCTCATCACTCCACAGTATTTATACCACCTCACTATCACTTGTCCTTTGCCAGATTGTCTTGTCGTTTCCACCAAGCTCTCCAGTGAGTGTTGTATTCTAGCCTAGATTTTTGTCCTGCCCGGTTTTTGATCCCTGCCTGCCTGTTTACGGATCTCGAGTTCCTGCCTGCTCCCTGTCTGGTTTTGGTTGCCTGTCTGACGGATTTACTGGTTTTGACCCTGCCTGTCCCTGACCTGAATAAACTGAACATTGCTATACACTGGTTGTATCTGAGTCGTGCTATTGGGTTCTGATCTGTACCTGTGATCGTGACACTTATGCTGAATGTGTGCAAAAAGGTTTTACCGTCTGACCTGAAGTGAACTTCTTGTTCTCTGTTTTAATTTGTGATGTGTGCCGCCATGTTACGAAAGCTGCACCAGGTGTATGAAAAATACTACACATATAAAACGTAATTATTATAATTTGTAAACATGTTCATGCTCACATGCCTACGTTTATACATACCTGAAAAACATTTCATGCCTTTATAAGTAGATACAACTAACAGTGCTCTGTCACATTTACCTTTCATGTTATTCCAACCCAGTCTCACGGCATTTCGTGTTCACCAACACGATTTTTAATCTATTGATTCGTGTTCACCAACACGATTTGCCCCTTTTTTTTTCGTGTTGCACAGCACGATTTTAAAAGCAATGTATTTCTACTGCCTGCTGCACGTCTTTTTCTCCAGTCGGGTCGAGGAAGACCAGAAGCTGTGTGGTTCATAAAAACATGTTCTTACTCAATATCAAGCCACAGTTATTGCTTTTATTTGAAATCGTATAATTTCTGACTTTTGTTGCCGTCTGTGAGGAAAATAAATGGGGCTCAGAGCCTCAGAATACGGAAATCTGTATTTTAAATATTTTTTTCCTTCTAATTCGATATTCTTTTCAAAATAACACACTGTTATTTACTCACCAATAACACACAATTATCCTTGCTTTTATTTATTGGTTTAATTCCATAATCTGGGGCTTTTTTGGCGTCCGTCAGGAACTGAATTTCAAAATAAAAATAACCGGAAACAGACGTAGGCCTATAAGGGACATTTCGAGCATCATTGCGATTGTCAACATTTCTGAGTTTAGGATGGCCGAAGACACTACACTACCCATAATCCCCAGCTATCGTTTAGGACTACGTACTTTAGTAAGGTTACGCAGAGTGTCAAACAGCTGTGTGAAATGGAACGAAACCACGCCAGACTATCCAAAACTGGAATCGAACGCCCCCCCAGAACTACACATGCTGGCTATTGTGTTTCGCAAAATGTTCTATGGGACGTCTCTACTGAACGTTTTCGTTTTTCCCACAATTACAAGTTGCCAGTATTAAACACATTGGTGTTATCAAATGTAAAACATATAATTAATAAATGGGTGAAAATCGCTTGTGTCCATAATGCGCAGCATTAATACCCACATGACAGCTCATTGTTACTTTGTAATTCTACTCCACTACAATTCAGAGGTTAACCTGGTATTTTTACTCCACTGCATTTATTTGAGTTACTTTGCAGATTCTGATTAACTATGTGAAATATAAACAACCCTTAAATCAGACTTTAGTTACACCTGAGTAAAATTCAGGTAAGGTGATTGTCAAGTCAACAATCAGGAGAGATATTTGATAGTTGGTGCTTGAGAAGACTAAACATGTATCTGCAATTGACATGAATGGAAACGAGTAATAAAGTATATTCATTACTCATTATTCTCTACTAATAGTTAATTAAAGACTGTATATTATGGCTATTTTGCACATCCCTTTCAAGATTTTCAAAGGTGTATTGACATATCATATACACAACTACGGTGTAGTTATGCAATGAATGAAACACTTGGGTCACAGGTTCCTCAACAGTGCATTACAAGACATCTATCAATATGTGTGTACCTCCACCATTAAACTGTCATATTCTGCACATTTCTTATTCTATCTACATACATAAGAGTATCATTCATATGTATAATATCAGTTAAAATAAGTGCTTCAACATAGTTAACATTGCAGGAAAGCAATATATTAGACGTTAAGTACTTTGTCAGGCTTAATATTTATCTGTAGATTGATACCCCCAAAGTTTTTTTCTTATTTAAAAGAAGACCTTAATCTGTTATTTAATGTTTAAATAAAGGTTAATTCGTTTTTCTGTTTTGCACCTCCTCCTATTAATATCTTTGTACATTCTGCACTAAACTGTTTTATTGTAGAGATCACTTATAGTATCTTCTTGATTTTTTATATTCTATATTTATACTTTCCCCCTATGAAAGTATGTACTCTTAATATCTTTTTAATCAAATAAAACACAATAATTCAATAACGTGCTTTAACCACTAGGCGGTGCACACAAGGTACACACAGCCATAATAACTTTGTATTATTAGTGTAGGACACTTTTGTTTTCGTACAACATCTGAAAATGTGTAGTTTTATGCATGCTTTCACATAATTTTACAGCATATTGCTATACTATTTCAGACTCAGTATTTACATTCTTACATTCAAAGAAAATCAGTAATATCTTTAAAAACTACAGTCCTTTTATATTAGCTGTGCACCGTTATGGTGTAAATATAACCTATCTGTGAATTAGATCAAATGTAAAAGTCAGCCGAATTAGTGTTGATACTGCAAGGAGACGTATTGTGTGAATAGAAATTGAAGATGTTGTTTAATTGTTGAATATATTTATGATCCACGTCAAGTATTCAGTTTCGACGGCATTTTCTCAGTTTTTCCAAAGGTCTTCTCATCAGGGCTCTATAAATAAAGAACTACGGCAGATCTGTAATATACAATGCAGCCGAACCGTGTATTACAATGCCGTTATGTGATGACTTTCAAAGAGAAAAGCAAGAGCGCTCGGAATTAAGTATTATTTTATTATTTTAAAATGTTTTCCGGATTTCATATCATATAAACACCAAATCCCAGCATGCATTGCGGCTAAAACATCCAATAAACGAGCTTAAAACCATAGCGGAGGATCTTGGGTAATCGCTCGAAATGCCTACGTCTGTTTCCGGTTATTTTTATTTTGAAATTCAGTTCCTGACGGACGCCAAAAAAGCCCGAGATTATGGAATTAAACCAATAAATAAAAGCAAGGATAATTGTGTGTTATTGGTGAGTAAATAACAGTGTGTTATTTTGAAAAGAATAATAAATTAGAAGGAAAAAAAGATTTAAAAAATACAGATTTCAGTATCCTGAGGCTCTGAGCCCCATTTATTTTCCTCACAGACGGCAACAAAAGTCCGAAATTATACGATTTCAAATAAAAGCAATAACTGTGTCTTGATATTGAGTAAGAACATGTTTTTATGAACCACACAGCTTCCGGTCTTCCTCGACCCGACCGGAGAAAAAGACGTGCTGCAGGCAGTAGAAATACATTGCTTTTAAAATCGTGCTGTGCAACACGAGAAAAAGGGGCAAATCGTGTTGGTGAACACGAATCAATAGATTCAAAATCGTGTTGGTGAACACGAAATGCCGTGAGACTGGGTTGGTTATTCAGATTCGGATAGAGCTGCAGATCTCAGTTTTCTGACTGAGTGGTTTTCCTTTTGTGTTGCTCAGGTTGGCCCTCTTGTGGTACCACACAGTAGTGCTGCCCTTCTTTGCTCTGGATGGCTCCGACACACATGAGGGGCTGCTGGAAGCCAAAGCAATTCTGCAGAGGAAGTCTGTGGTTTACCCCAACTCATCTCTCTTCATGTTCTTTAAAGGACGAGTTCACAGGCTAGAAGTATGTGCAGCAGACTCTATCAAACCTCATTGAAGTGATTTATTTTTGTATGTAATGTTAGACAAAGACATTCGATGGGAAATAGAAAGACATTTTTTATTATAGAAGAATCTGAAAAGAGTCCTCAGAAGCCCTTAGAGTGATCCATTTTAAAGCTAAATAGCTTTCTCTTTCATGTTTATAATCGATATTAGTACCAGGTAATAATCACGTGTACACAGGTAGAAAACGTTTGGGCAGGTGAAATTATCTTTGTCTGGATTAAGCACTTTTTACTGTCTTTGTCTTTTTTAACCCGCGTTTATTGTGCCCCTCTTATAAAATAACTGGCCACAGCCTGTCAAATTGGTCTAGAACCGCCACTGCCTCCGGTTCTGAAAAGTGAAGCTTGTGGAAGAGCCCTAAACTTGCATTCTCATTAATGGCCAGTGGGGGGCAAATCTTCTGGTTACAAGAGGTCTGATTGTATAGACGTCTATAAAAAAGTCAAATAGATAATAAAGAGCATGCTTAGGGTGTGGCTACCTTGTGATTGACAGGTCGCTACCACACGTCGTTGTCCTGTTTGGGTATTTTTGTGTCATAACGGAAACGCCTTCAGAGTGTGTTTTTTAGTTTATGATAAATTGTAAAATGTTGGTTGCCTTTTCTGGCCAAAATCAGTATTAAAACAAAAAAGACAAGGTTTTTTTACAAACGAAAAAGTAAAACATGCATGTCAGATGGCTCATTAACTCACCAACATCTAATCCACCATCTATTTGTATTCCTCCATTACTCAACACATGCATGTCCTGTGTGTCCAACACAACCTTTGCTGATGTGTGCTCTCTCCTTTGTCCACAGTGCCATATCAACAGTGCTTTGGCCTGTTTCCATGATGCATTAGAGCTTGCATCAGACCAAAGAGAGATCCAGCATGTGTGTCTCTATGAGATTGGTATGTGTTTATATGTTAGGTTAGTTGTGACATACTGGCCACTAAGCGTAGATCACAGCGAGGGTTTCATTTGACTCTTATTTTTGTTTCAGGTTGGTGTAGCATGATAGAGATGAATTTTGAAGATGCATACAGAGCGTTTGAGAGGCTGAAGAATGAGTCGCGTTGGTCCCAATGCTACTATGCCTACTTGACCGGAGGTAAGCCTGTCCCACCATAACATATGCTTACACTGCTGGGATATCTGTACTGTATGTAAGTATGTTATCTTGTATTCTTTGTGTTTTTCCAGTTTGTCAGGGTGCTTCAGGTGACCTGGATGGAGCCAGCGGTGTTTTCAAAGATGTGCAGAAGCTGTTCAAGAGAAAAAACAACCAGATAGAGCAGTTTGCAGTCAAAAGAGTGAGTTTTGCTGCAGATTTAGCCTTTTGTCCCCTCTTTTTCCAAGGTCATCACAAGTGTGTCACAAAAGTTTTCCTTCTCTCTCCGGTGCCTATCTGCAGGCTGAGAGATTGAGAAAGATCTCTCCCACCAGAGAGCTATGCATCCTCGGTGTAATTGAAGTGCTGTATCTGTGGAAAGCACTTCAAAACTGCTCCTCATCTAAACTGCAGATAATGAATCAAGGTAAATGTAACCTTCATGTTGTATAGCAGTAAAAGTGAGCTGCAGCTGGATGTCTAAGAAATGATTTTTACCCCTGTGTTATTTCTCTGTATTTCTGTTCAGTGTTGCAGAGTTTAGATGAGGCTTCCTGCAGGGGCCTGAAACACCTTCTTCTTGGTGCTGTTCACAAATGTCATGGAAATATGAGGGATGCTGTTCAGGTATCAGTCGGCATTAAGCACTGAATGACTTTGCAGTTATTCTACACTTTGAATGTTTCTCAGCTCACTCTTCTTTCCATGTGATCTGTCATCCAGTCGTTCCAGCTGGCTGCAAGAGATGAGTATGGACGACAGATCAACTCTTATGTTCAGCCATATGCCGTCTATGAGCTTGGATGCATACTCCTTGCCAAACAGGAGGTCAGTTTTCACAGCATTCACATTTTTATGCAGACTGGAATGATGTGACTACATGCACAGTTATAACCTGGTCCTTTCTATATTACAATCCAGACTGTTGGAAAGGGGAGGTCATTTCTACTTCAAGCTAAGGTAAAATATCGACACAGCAATATTCTAATTTAGAATGAATTTGTTTATTAAAATATTAGAAATGTATTGCATGTAAGAGGTGTCTAATAACATGTTTTATCTATTCATCCATTTATCTATTTTAGGAGGACTTTACGGACTATGACTTTGAGAACAGGCTTCATGTCCGCATCCATTCAGCCCTGGCTACTCTGAAGGAAGTTGTGCCTCAATGACTCCAGCATGGATAGCTGCAATGGCTAAAGCTTTGCTCATAGCTTTTTACACCAAGTTTTAAGCCAATCAAAATGACTGTATCACAACCCGGTGAACAGACTCTTTTTCATTCTTAAAGTATTTGGGGAAATACATTTCTTTGTAATCTTACCCAGTCAGATTGATATGAAGTGTGATCTCTGTGCATTTTGTACAGAAATAGCTAGGTGTGTTCATGCTAGCTTAGAAATAAAGAGGAAAAGGCTAGACAAGCTATGGCTAGCAAGTTAAAAACTAAACCTAAAACTTAAACTAGACAATTATACCGGTACAGAATATATTTTAAGCCAGCAAGGTAGTCACCAATACATTTTGTGGATGGATTGCCTTCCGCTACATAGACAAGATGGCTCCCATCAAGGATGAGAAGTGTCTAGTGCTCCGCACTTAACGTTAGGAGCTCAAGAACAGACACAAAACTCAAATTTAGACACAGGCCTCATTTTTGTATTTTTGTCTTATAGTGTGTTCAAACACAGAATGCTCTGTATAAAAAGACGTCTTAAGGGTTTTTCAAAGCGGATTTTTCCTCAGTCTGGCCAAGCTAATTAGCTACCGGTTTCCCCTTGCTTTAAGACCTAGTGCTAAACCAGGCTGTTTCTGCACAGGACACACATAGATTGCATTGATATAGACACTGTGCCCAGCAACAAACAAGCACATTAACCCACCATTTTAACTGTTTCTTTAATTGTTTCCAACCTAATGTATTAGCTACAGCTAGTAAAATGTTTTCTCATTAGCTTGTGTATGAAGAGGAATTCACTATTGCCTCCCCCTCCCTTCAGTGAGAAATTCAGAACATAAAAGTACATTTTTTATGAGATAATATTTCCCTAAATATCAACTTCACAATGACTGGTGAATGGGACTAACTTAATCACATATCATGAAAAGGATAAGGGAAATAAGAGTCAAATTGAATATTTGATTTTAAATATGAATTTAAAGGACTCCATGGGTTGATCATTTTTTTTTCGTCAACAATTTTCACTGCTTTTCCAAATTAAATTATCAGACAGCTGGTCATATTGCAAAAATAATGTTGGGTCATTTCACAAAGGGGCCACACATGGCGCGTTTCCACTGCAGCGGGTAGCTCGCTTTAAGCGTGCCGAGCCGTGCGGGGCCTGTTTTCGGTTGCATTTCCACTTGGCCTAGTTTTGGCCCGGGGCTACTTTTTCACCTTTTTTCTGGCCCGACTAAATCGTGGTTCTAGGGCCAGGAACAACCAGGCTGAGTCGGGCTGAGTATGCTAAACTAGAGAGAGAATCGCTGGCAAGGGGGCTACAACTACAACAAGGTGAACATATTTGACCGTGATTTAATTGTAATACACGTTTCAAAATGATGCCGAAGTAACAACATACTGATACCGGTTAGTAAAATCCATGAATTAATGCTTTGACAAGTCTGCAGACAGACGGCAGGCGAAAAACCCTTTTAAAATGCGTGTTTTCTAAATGTAGCTTGGCTAAGCTAACGTTATATATGCTCCGACCGTCCACATTCACAACAACGGCCTATACAGACATAAATAAACCAGCGACTGTATTCGCCATGACACAGGCAGTCTGTGGTTTGTACTTGTTTAACTTTTGTCAAGTTTCTGAACAGATATGAGGAGCTGTGAGCTCTGAGTGCTAAGAGCTAACGGCTGTGTTGTTTTTTGGGGCTCTCATTGAAGATGACGTCACGGCTCCGCCTACACTGCGTTACTATAGTAACTGCCCCAGTTCCTAAACTGTAATGGAAACGCAGCATTAAAGTGAGCCGGGCCTAATAAGGCCTAACCAAACCGAGCGAGGCCTGCAGTGGAAACGCGCCATTAGTATATTCATTGTGGGAATAAAATCACAAACCATATAGAAACAATTAGGTACTGTGGGAATACTTCACTTGTCACCTGAAAACAAATAATTGAAGTACTTAGATGTCATGTCTTTATAGTTATTGAGGAATCACCACACTTTGTTTTTTTATGTGAAAACAGTGGGCATTGGTCCTGTGCACTATGCATGGTATGGCAGGGTAACAGTGGCTATAAGACTGTATTGAAGTCAGATGTACGCGTATGTCCATCCATGCAAATACATGTATACGGTATTATAACACAGTACACTCTGTACTGTAATGTTACCATTTAAAGGTGCTGTTAAATGTCAGCCTAATTAACATATATTACTAGTGAATTTATTTTAATAGTGTTTTAGTAGTACAAGCTTTTGAAATGGTCCATAATAGTGACAATTTTATTTATAATACAACAGAAGTAATACTTTTGCAAATGTTATTTACAGCGGGACAGACTGCAGTGTTGTTGTGATAAAGCTGAAAAGTATAATTTAGAATATGGCCAAGAATAATATTTCTGCGTGTTAAGAGTGATTTTAATAACCTTTCTCAACAGAGTTTCACACTGTACTATACTAATCATTATGTGCAGGTTATTGCCTTTTGTCATTATTCGTCAGGCTAGCAATATGAGAAAAATAATCTTACAGTCATTCACAGAGGCTTTCAACAATTAATATCTGTTTTTCATCCCATGTTCAAAGTTGTAGACATTTGTTTTACTAATGCCGAGCTGTCACCCCCTGTGGCTGTAATGGACTGTGTTAAATGTGGATTTGACCGCTGTGCAAGTGGTCAGTGCGATTGCAAGTAACGTAGCGGTGAAATGTCAGTAACATACCAAATACTTCTGTCACTTCAATTATATTTCCTTTTGTCATGAGATTATGTTGAATTTGATTGTACATGTCAGGATGATGATGTTCCAATGTGTCAATGAACTCAATAAACTCCATTAACCTTGCCAAATATGTGCTGTCTTTCTTTGCCTCTGAGATATATTTTCTGTTGAAATTGCACTTATGACAGTTGATGTTATTTCAAATGTGTCAGGGTTACACAATATTCACATTTCAAAAATAAATATATACAGTACAAGACCCTGGTGGATAATGAGACAATGGGCCCAGAGATAACAATAAAGGAAGAGATGCAATCCACCACCTTTCCTACACACAGACTGTATCGTTTTTTAGCCTCTTAGTCCTTTTCTTTATTTTTGTAAATGTTTTGTTTAACTTGTTTTGGTCTTTTGGCTGTCATTTTGTTTCTCTGTGTGGTTGATTTTTGTTTCTTGGTAATCCCTTTCTTCGCTTGGGGGTTGTTTTGCCCATTTTTATAGACCCTTTGTGGTCTCTTTGCAGCTGTTTTGCGGCAATACTCTGTCCTCCTTTAGTTATCTTTCCATAACACGACCAGTGAGGCAAATGCTCTGAGCTAATGATAAGACAGGGGTTTTATTGTACCTTCTGGAAAGTGGTTTAATGTTTTCTTACCTTGTAACATTGTACCAATCTACGGTGTCCATTTGTTTTTATTCCACCAGAGGAAGCTTATCTCACAGACAACATCCCACACTTTGGTTCTGATGACAGCAGGACGAAACATTGACTAAGAATACATATTGTGGTATCTTACCTTGTGTTATTATTACATGTTATTGCATTTGTCCAGCAGGGGACAAACTCACTCTTGGTATTAAAAGAGCCTGTTGTACATGTTCCCACGAGGAAGTCCCGGGAAGCATGTTACCAAAGTAAAACCAGTTAAACCTACTCCTACGTTGTGGACATACAATTATTGATCACAAGATACAACATATTATTGGCGACGAGGATTAAGAAGAGGATTAAGACAAGGATCAAGACGGGATCAAAGAGGACATGCCGAACGGACTGGTTAGCACCTTACATGCAGGTGTGGGTCGTTAGCGGCAGCTAGCTCAAATTATTAGCAACGTCTGCGGGTGGAGGAGAGGATTCATTGACACACAATGGCAATGATTGGCATGCTGGCACCTTTTGATGCAAAAAATCAGAAGTGGGAAGAATACTGTGAGGTATTGGAACAGTTTTTTGAGGCTAATGAAATTGATAATGGAGACAGACAAAGAGCCATATTAATAAGTGTTGTGGGATCATCAACAAAGCCTTATGAAAAACCTCCTCAGTCCGGATAAGCCCAAGGATAAAACTTACACACAACTTGTGGAGCTGCTAAAAAATCATTTTGACCCAAAAGCCTAGTGAAATTGTGCAAAGGTACGTTTGTCTCCCGCAACCGTGAGCCCAATGAGTCAGTAATGGAATACGTGGCTGAGCTGCGTCGGTTAGCGCAGGATTGCAACTATGGTAACACTTTGCAGCAGAGGTTGAGAGACAGGATCGTCTCTGGAATAAATGAAGATCGGATTCAGAGACGACTCTTATCAGAAGCGGATTTAACATTTGAAAAAGCATTGTCAATTGCTGTGGCGTCAGAGACTGCAAATAAAAATGCACAGGATACGAAACCAAGGGGCCACAGCTTCAAAATGGATAAAAAGCCACAGGAGGCTTATGCACACAGATAACCTACCAAAGAGTGTTACAGATGCAAGGGAACCAAGTATGAAGCAGCAGACTGTAAGTTTAAACAAGAGAAATGTCATGCATGTGGTAACATAGGACCAGAGATGGGTTACTAAAAAAATGTAATATATTACATATTACTTTAAAAAATATATTACACTACTTCGTTACTATCTACATAAAGTAACTCGTTACTTTACTCGTTACTTTACTCGTTACTTTACTCGCCGAGCACGTACGAACTGCGCATGCGTGAGTGGCAATAACTCTCCTTACCAGCAGGCGGCGGTAGTGTGTATTCGTCATTAAAAACAGGCAACAACCAGAAGACAGAGAAGAAGAACAGACTACGTGATATAAACAAACAACAAATAGCGTGTGCGGTAGCTTCACCTTAGCATGTGTTCTTTGCAGGTGTTTGTTGAGGTTTGACGTGGTGTTTACAGCAGTGGATAACAGCTTCTGGCCTGGACACAGTTTGCACCTCACCGTCACATTCCTGTCTATTCTTCGGACGAACTCAAAATAATGGCATACCTCCACCCCTCGAAAGTTATCGCTGACTCAGCCATGTTTATGCAGCACTGCACGTGGGGATGTGGACGCGCAAATCGCGCAGATTACGTACATATAAACCTGCGGCGGAAACCCCTCTTGTCTGTCAGTGTGATTATGACTGATTTTTAGTAAGTAACGAAGTAACGCGTGCCGGGGCAATGTTAGTAACTGTAGTGTGATTACTGAATTATAAAAGTAGCGCGTTACACTACTCCGTTACCGACAAAAGTAATATTATTACAGTTACAAAGTAACGCGTTACACCCAACTCTGCATAGGACACATTGCCAGAGCTTGTCGTAGTAGATCTGCACAGAATGGAAACAGCAACAAAAATGCAGACCCAAAAAAAGAAAGGAGGACAATGGAAGGTCTCCTGCGAGGCATTCCTTTCGTGGCAGTGTATTTAGATGACATCCTGGTGAGCGGTGTGGATGAGGAAGAGAATTGCGTCTGAGAAGGAGCAAGTGCACTTTCCTGGAAGAGGAAGTGGAATATCTCGGACATCGAGTGGACGCACCCACCCTGTGGAAAAGAAAGTCAAAGCCATCATGGTGGCTCCCATATGAAGGTAGATATGGTGCAAAATGCGAGAGCGTGAAAACCTGATGTGAGCACTTGTAGAAAAAAAATCTGAGTTTGTGTACATACATTTACACTTGTATAAAATATCCACGTAACTGTGAACCAAATTTACACTTGTATAAAATATCCACGTAACTGTGAACCAAATTTACACTTGTAAAAAATATCCACGTAACTGTGAACCAAATTTGAAGTCACAGAAGAAAAAAAAAAGTGTTGTAGCTTGTATAAAAAAATGAACTTAGTTATGAAATGTTCACTTGCAGAAAGATACATATTTTTAAAATATATTTTCCATTACAACTGCAACTTTATTTATTACAACCTCTCAAATCAGTCACAACTTGACGAATCTGCTCTGTGGCAGTATAAATCGACGAATCTGCGGTCTTGACTTTTGCTACACTTCTTGTGATAAATGTGTCGCAAAAGTAATTTTCACCTGTAGATGTGGGGGGAGGGAGGGGGGTTGGAGCGAAGGGGCGGAGCTATCAGAACGACGAGGCTCGGGTGACTGGAGACTGCGGAGCTAACGGTTCGTGTCGCTACCAGTCCGCTGACATGGCGCATCAATCAACGGTACATTTTGCCCATTACTTGCCCAGTATTACTTTGAATATTATTATTGTGATTGGGGATTAAATCCGCTTTGAAGACCACCGTTTTATATCGTGCAGTTTAGCGGCAAAATAACGTCAGTCAGCCAGCTAACGCTAGCTTTGT